GCACGCCTTTAATTTCAGCAGAGACAGGCTGATCTCTGAGTTCAAGGCCTCAGTCTATAAAGCCATTTTTGAGCTCTCTGGTCTACAAAGCAAGTTTCAGAACAGCCAGGGCTGTTAAACAGAGAAACCCTGTCTCGAAATGCCAAATAATAATAATAAAAAATTTTAAGTGAAAAAATGAGTAACCCATTATTTTAGCATTTTTCAGACAGAACTCAGTAAATATTTTCATACTTTCCAATGTCTTAAAAACTGTTGCTGGGTGATGGTGGCACATGCCTTCAATTTCAGCACTTAGGAGTCAGAGGCAGGCAGATCTTTGTGAGTTCAAGGCCAACCTGGTCTACAAGATCTACTTCCAGGACAGGTTCCAAAGCTACAGAGAAACCTTGTCTCGAAAAACAAAAACAAAAAAATGCATGATTCTGGACTTTCAACCTGTAACAAATAAATATATTGTAACATATAAAATGTTTTTACTTTATCTAAAAAGCATTATAAATAGTTGTCCAAAATATATTTTTAAAATTGGCACCAATGCATCCATATTGCATTATGTTTTAGTAAAGACTTAACATATGTATCCTGCCGATGATGAAATTTGTCAAGGATGCACCTGTCTTGTTATAGAGTGACCAGTAGTTTAAACTTTTACCATTAATTTAGACATTTATTGAAGAGATGCCTTATTTAAAAATCCAACATGTCAGCCATCAGACATTTTTCTACAGTGACATCTCACATAGTGGTACCACCCTGTATATGTTCACATTTTCTTACTTTTAATAAAAACATAATCAAGAGTTAAAAGTTCAAAACCCTAATCACTCCAGTAAGCTATCTGCCAAGCTGGAGATGGAATGGAGATTTGGTTCCTGGTATTTTGCAAATGGCTTTCCCAGTGACTGCTGAGGTCTGTAGTCAGTCACAAGGTCTGAGTTCTGAAAGGCAGTGATCACTGTGGCTTTAGGCTTTGTAGAGACGTAGGACAAAAGAAGGGGCAGGGGCCGGGTGGTGGTGGTGCACGCCTTTAATCCCAGCATTCAGGAGGCAGAGGCAGGTGGATCTCTGTGAGTTCGAGGCCAGCCTGGTCTACAAGAGATACTTCCAGGACAGGAACCAAAAGTTATGGAGAAACCCTGTCTCAAAAAATCCAAAAAA